ATAGTTATTAAGAAAAATAAAGAGAATTTTGTGATAAACACCATTATTTTCCTATCCTCTGCACTCTGAATTGGGAAAAGAAAAGATGAAAGGGAATTTCTTCTGAATACCTTTTCTACTTTAAGACTATAAATCACTTCTTGCTTAATTAGACATTTGTTTTTGATCATCTAAAGAGGCTTGCTGAACTATGTCAAAAGAGTACAGAGTGGAAGAGTCTATAATGAAGCTGGGTGTGAAAGTAGCAGAGACAATAAAATGACATTTTATCCCAACTGCATCATGGTGGCTTATTGAGTTTTCTCAGTAGGCTTCACCCTGCCCTTTATGGGTTAAAGATGAGGAAGAGTGAGAGCATGAAGAACAAAAACAAATACTGGTCAAAGAATTGAATTGCCTTCTATGGTTCTCATTTTATGGCTACTTTTATGTGCACCTTTGTACTGTCAGCTCAATAGATGGCATCCTTGTAGGCAATGTTGGCTCCTGCAGAGAGACACCTTGGTGTCTTGTCTTGAAGTCCCTCTCCCATTGGTCCTAGGTTAGACCTTGTCCAGCCATGAAAGGATGTTGAGTTATGAGAGCTGTGAGAGTGGAAAGAAGGAGTCATTTACCCAGTACACACAAAAAAATATGCCAAGTGAATTAACTTTAAATAATTCTCATGGATTGGCTACTAGCTAAGAAGTAGCTTTTAGGGAGAGATACCCAAAATTGAAAGTTTTGTGTTTCATTGTCGTTGTTGTTGTTGTTGTTGTTGTTGTTTTTAGCTATTTCCTGTAGATAATGAAAATATCGAGTTTCTCCTCTTCATGTCTACTCCTTCAAAATAGTTGCATCTAAAAACGCTGTTTTATTTTCCCACTCCCCTTCTCTGTTCCCTGTTAAACTAGAAACAGGGATTCATTTGTGTACTGCTCCACAATACATGTAAAAGTTGTGCAAAAATATCTTGTATGAAAATGATTTGTAATCTGTAGACTTAATAATCTTGAGATGTAAAAATCTCATTCTTTGAGTTGTGAAGTTTTTTTGTTGTTGTTTTGT